CACATGCAGAAATGCGCTCAAGCACACTGGCAGTCTGACAGAACACAGGCTCCAGGTTTAATTACTCTGCGAGCTCACGTGGCTCCTCAGCCATAACTTAAGGCCCAAGTGGACACACACGCCCAACACTGACATAAGGCCGCTATCTGCCAAAGCCTTACGTAAAGAGAGACCCACGCCCTCCAGCAGATGACGCGAATCAAACTTCAACATCACAGCTGGGGACTGAAGGAATGCTGGTCAATAGCTGGAGTCCATGAGAAAAAAGAGTGGGCAATATTCTGCCCATGTTTGACTTGGCACGATGAAGGAGAAAGAGCATTGTCCAGCGAGATATGGAAACACATTTTTTGCTTCTAATCTTGAACATTTGTACTTTTCCAAACAGAATGCATTCATCTGAGAGCTCTCGTGTCTCTTTCATCCTTTTGTATCAATCAGTTCAGTTCATATCATCGTGCATGATATCAGTGAAGGTCACTTTAGTGTGGGCAGCGCAGAAGATTTCTACAGAGAATTAATTGCTTTGCTTGTGTGCAAAAGGGACACACACATACCAAATATGGAATCGCCCAACCACAAGCCGAATATCTTGTTTTGCTGTGGTTGAGTTCTAACAGCAATTGTCACAGCTCGTTGCACACTGCCCAAGGCCCTGATCTCGCAAAAGAAACAGTCAGTGTAGATGAGAAGATGAATTGAGAGAGACGAGATGTTTTCCCCCTTTCTTCAGGGCAGATTTAAAGCTTGGGTTTTCCCCCTGAAATCTTTAGAGAGAGAGAGAGAGAGAGGGAGAGTTTATAACGTACTCAGAAAGGGGCTGAATGACATCATCTAACATCGCAGCCCATGCCCATTGCAGCACTACATATTTGCACGCCTGCATAACTTCTGAATGACAGCCATGGGAAGTGGGAGCATAAACTAAATCTGTGTGCAAAAGAGTCAGCGTCTTTCAGCTGCTTATATGTGACGAGGATGTTTGTTCTGAGAAACACATTTACTAATCAAGAGCAGCAACGGATCACATTCTGTCTTATCTGCATCCAACCCTTCATCCACTCAAATCACACTCTTAATCCTTGTTTTTAAATTCTTAACTCAAACTGCACAACTTGAATAAGCACAGCTTGAATTGAATGCTCTTTTATTGGCGCATTTTAGGTTCTTAATGCAATAATCATTGATAATGGAAAACCAATAATTCTCCACAGCATCTCTAAAGGTGTAGTCCACATCTAGTTTTACTCTCACTGCATGAGTGTCATTGAATATTCAAGAAATGAATATTAAAGCTACAGTGAGGAGTTTATAACTGGTTATAGAAGAGCCTGTAATTAATACCGATTCCTCTGTATGCAAAGAGATCATCATCTAAAAGATGTATTGCACCTATATGGTTGTTTTTAATGTCCAATACTGCTGCTGCAGGGTATGTGCCAGATGAGGCGATTAACTGCATGCTGCAGAAACTCTTTACATTTTCAACAGCAAAGACTTGTGTTAAGGGATACTTTTGTCTAATGAATTACAGCGGGCAGATATTTTTGTTTTACATAAAGGCTAAGATAAGCAAGAGGCGATGCAGAAATCAACACGGGAGCTTTAATCAAAATTATAAAAGTTGAAAATTAATCATACATGGAAAATAATCTGATATTATTCTTTAAGGTTTTCATAAATGTGATTTCATGTGTTTGGTGAACATAGGCTGTTAAAGTTCTGTATTGTTAATAAAAAAGTGTCTAATTTCTAATAAATTCAGCATGTCTGATGAGGCATGAGACGAGTTCCTCACAGTGTTCATCTTAAGGTCAAATTAAAATGAAAATAAAACTTTTCAAAACTTAACCCAGTGCTTGAATATGTACCCTCTTTTATTTAAGCAACATTGCTAAATATCTGACTCAGTTAATTTGATGCTTGATAAATGGTATTCCATGGTATTGCCTAAAATACTTTGTTGATTTGCTACGATTTCAAACGCCAGATTATGAAAGGAAGACTTAATGTTCAGACTGTTCTCTGCTCAGCACGTACACTACAAAGGAAAAATTTAAGACAGGCCGGGGATCAAGTGCCTTATGACACAGATGCCACTAAATCGGATGTGGCATTGATTAAGCCCCCTGACACACAAAGATTCCTCACTGAGAACGAGACACAATGAGACTGCGCAGCAGTAAAACCCGTCTGCATTAATCAGGAAAAAGTGTCGTGACAAAGTCTTCTTTATGTGGATAAAGGCGTCCAGAATAGAGCATGAAACATTAAAAATGTCTTTGACTGAATATAGAGGGCATCCAGGCAAGACCTCTGACCCAACACCGCCGCAGAAACATAGTCATATATTGTCAACGAGCACACAGATTTTGTCTTGTGACTTTTGTGATGACGCAAAACATATCAAAATTTTTAAAACAGAAATAGCCCAGGCATGCTTGTTTTTGACCCCAGAATGATAGAACATTGCTCGTATTAAGCTTTTCCATTTTTGCCTTTTGGAGATGTACTGCATGTGAATATGCCTCTTCAAATTCACACTGAAATGCCAAGTGTCAAGCATGTAGCAGGTGGGTGTGATTGGAAGACTTGTGTTGGATGTGGTGAAGAATGAGTACGGGTCAAAAGAGTAGAGGCAGCACCCATGTGATATTCCTAAAGTAGAAAATAATAAACTATTTGTTAAGACCTAAAATAGATGCAGGAAATACTGTAACAATGTAAGTTTTTGATCATTAAACTGCTGCTGATATGTGTAAAATACAAAAATAGCTAATAGCAAGACGGGCCTGGGTGTAATCATAATCAGGACTGGTTTAAAGGAAAACCCTACTTATTCATAAATGATCATTTCTGTTTGACACTCAACATCAGTATTAAAGGAAAATGGTGATTAGTTGTGACTTTAAATGTTGTGCTTGTATCACAGCTTTTATGTCTTGGTGGGGAGCACCCAGCGTAATTAGATTTCCATGTAGATCTAATTACCATCTGTTAAGCTGCTGATGCCGACGGTATGTGGTTTCGCCTTTTTTTTTTATTGTGCAAACTACCGACATGTTCCGCCACCTCATGATCTTTTTTTTCCTTTTTAAAGCAAGCCTTGGTTATTTTCTTCAGTCTGGGATACTCCTCTTGTCTTCCCAAGGTCACTCCTAACACTCACCGCTCCTGCGCCCACAGATGGGATAACCCCAATGTGTCTGCAGAAGTCGTCACATTAGGCTGGAGTAGAAGCAGTCCTGCTATGACCATCGAGACAGCTACAGCTTCCAAACCATACATCACCCTGCAATTAGCATCAAACCTCAGACTGATTTGGAGTGGACTGCCCAGTAAGTCCACATACGCACCAACACACACGTTCATGTTTACATGTTTTAAGGGGACCATAGAGTGATTTACATTTCTTTCCTAGGGACCTACTCTCACAATAATCATAACCACGCCTATCTTAACTGAACCTTTAACTATTGGTTCCCAAAAGGAAGGCGGTTCCCCACAACATTAGAGTGTAAACACATTTTTGTCCCTTTAACATACACACACAGTCTTGTTTATGTCACTTCAGGGGGGCCATCCATTGAGCTATATAAATTTTTCAGTGGACTGTTAAACCAGCTCTGTCTTAAGTTATGGTGTAAAGTCCACACTGAAACCTACGGCAAAACTAGTTTTACAGAGACATACGGTTCATCTCAACAAGTAGAGCATAGCATCAAAACCAACTTTAATTTAACAGTGCATTATGATACGATGATATCTAAAGCACAAACCCTGAATCTACAGCTAGTATAAAATAACAACAGTGACCAAGAGTGGCAAAATCATCAACTTAAACATAAGGTTATTTAACATTTTTTTTATTATTTGGTGGATAAAATGATCTCTGTTCATGGACAACAAAAGAGGGAGTACAAAACAAAGCCATGATACATTTCTGAGGGATGTAATCTATCAAGGAGAGTCACTGCCAACGCCTAACAGCTGGTAAAACCGTCTGCTCCTCCTCATCCTCCAAGTTATCCCACTTTTCAAAACGACGCTCCATGACAACCATATTTTACAGAGGACTATAAGCCTACTAGGTGCAAGGTGTAAGATTTAAGTTGGAACTTCTGCCAACGTTGGTAACTATCATAGGGGTGCAACACAATAATAACCAACACTTCCATAACCCTAACACTTCAACCTTAACAAAAAATTCTGCATAAAATGTGTTGATTTATGATATGGGGACTTGCATTGAAAGGCATGTCCCCACAATGTGAGTGTGTAAACGTCTTTTGTCTGCAGAACATGAGTAAAACGTGGTACACATTTACACACACCCACTCATTTTTTTGCAGCTCAGTATGGAAACACAGAATATGAAGCTATTTTTGCTGGCTGTTGAATCCATGTGTTATGTGGTCACTTTGTAATATGTGGTGCACGTGTAGCTCACACTTACTTATATGTTCATGAAATATCTTATAGACTCTATGGAGAAACAGTAAGACAAAAACTTGAAAAAACTGTAATAGATGGAACCAAACTGATCCAGTTTTACATTTCAAAACACGTGTATCTATTTTGTGGCTCTGTTGTATGTGTGGTTTAATGCCTCTTACACATTCAAACACATATTAGCCCCACCCAGATGCGCTGCAGGATGTAAAGCATAATTATTCTCAACTGCAACTTTCCACTCCTGAGCAGACCCTTTGTGTCTGCAGCCAGCATGCCACTAAGCATGCCTCTGTGTGAAACCTCATGGAAGAACACATCAAAGCAAAACCCCCACAAGTAGTTTGTAAAAACAACTGTTGATGTAAACATACTGCTGTAGGAAAATGTGTAGGAATTGGGAGTGGAAAACAAAGGAACAGAAGAAATTCAGCACCTAACACAAGACTTTATGTGGATAGTAGACTTTTTTAAGTAAAGATGAACTATTGGAGGAAAATAAACATGGCAAAACAAATACTATAATCAATAATTAGAGAGGTACTCACTGCTAAACAACAGAGCGCAGAGCACAAGGACTCCAGCCATCCTTCCCCAGAGCCCATTCATTCTCCACATGTGCTTAGCCATCCTCTCTGGTCAGACTCAGCAAGCCGGCAGGACTGTGTATGAGAGTAAAAAAAAAAAGTGTGTTTGAGGGCCGGGGGGAGCCGTGAGTTTCCTGTGAGGTCTAAGTGAGCGGGACAGACGAGCAGGATAAAGCCTGGCTTGTGTTCTGTTGCTCTTTATATGGCCCCACTCCTTAAGCCTTGCTCTCTCTCACTCGCTCTCTCTGCCATTTCCACACCCCTTTTTCTAACTGCCTGTTAACCCGTTTCCCCCAGTGCAACCGTCCCTGCCTCCACCCTGGTCCCTGTACGTGTCTGTGTGTGTGTGAGAGTACATGCGCGGTAAATCACCAGAGTGAGATAATGAGACGTTAGCGGGTGAAACCTGACATCCTGTTGAGCTTTATCTGCATGGCAGTTTTGTTTCCTGCTGAAAACCTTGGAAACTCACTCATAGGAGTTTGTGTTTGTAACAGTTTCTGCACAGAACGGGCTGTGGTCACACTTCAGGAAGGTTCCTGGTGATGCTCGAGTAGACATTTTTACAAACAAAGGCTGTTAGGGATTTTCAAGAAACTGGGTGTGTTTTAATTCATTAATCTGGAGATGCAATGAGGAAGAAATTCTCCCACCTTCTACATGTTGTGTACATACGTAGCTGAGAGGCCTGTAAAAGCACATTGCGTCACAAGCAACTGTTGGCCTCATATTTTGTGTGTCCCCGGACAGATTACTAACAGTATAATGACTCATTCATTGAACCACAAAAACACACATGCAGGCTTACAGTCCACACTTTCACTGACATCATCAACACAACACACATGCTATTTTATAATCGCACCACATCAGCAAAAAGTGAATATCTTGTTGCACTGGTGTGTGTTTGTAGGAGTGCGTGTTGCTGGGTGTTCACCGTTCATGTTCACGCAGCGATGGGCTGTTCGAGAGATCCGGGCAGCCAGGCCACATCTGGAAGCACTGCGGTCCCACTGCTGGGGTTTTGAGGACTGCCTGGAGGTTTTCTTGTCAAACAATTCAACCATATGAGGCTGAAAGAAGCCAAGAGCAGGCTGGTGTCTGAGAACTGGAGCTCCAGATGGTCACCCTGTACAGTATGTTTCTGACCCGATACTTTTTAGAGCTTGTTAAGGGACTCTTAAAAGGGCTTGAAGTAAGATTTTAAGATGTTTGAACCATTTTTAATTAATGAACATTAATGTTCATCTGTTTGCAAAATGAAAAACTATAAATCCAGAGATTTTGAACAAGTCTAACTGGAATTTCATTCCTCTTTCTTATTTTTGGACTGACCTGATGTCAGTCCAACTGCTAATTTTATCTCATTACTTCATTATTATCACCACAAAGGAGATTAGATCTGCAGCAGGCATCAAGACCCAACCAAGATGCAACCTTGGGTGTTGAAAAATGTGGAAGTGCAAAATCCTGCTGGTGCAGATGCACCAGAAGTCACATACACACTTAAGCAAATAAACCTAACCCTAGCTGATGTCTTAATCCACACACACTGTACGGGGGTTGAATTTTTTGATAACTCATCCATTTGGATTTTATAAAGGATAAGCATTATTCACAATAAGACACTTTGCTGACTTGACGGTTGTAGCGATATAACAAGTTTTCAAGAAGCTTAAAACCCACCTCAGCTCCAGTTCCTGTTGTTAGGTTGACTCAAAGTTAGGTTGAGACAGCATTTCCAGCATTGCGACCGCCATCAATGGGACTCCAAAGCCCCCTGCAGTAACAGATGGGTGGTGTCAATCAGGCTTGGTCCATTTATATTTAAAGTCTACAAAAGACAACATCAGAAATAAAGACAAACAGCTCAAGTGAAAAACAAAAAGTACTTCAACCACACTGAGGCACAGGCTGAAACAGTTCAGACACAGAAAAGTGCATCGAATAAATACATTGAATAGTCAAGCTAAGATAGATAAGAGAATAATAAATAATCAATAATTTAGCAAGGTATACTATCTAAAACTGTCATCTTAAAATCCATCTCACCCACATACACAAAAGAAGTACACATGAAAATCAACAAAGTTAGGCCAACAAATTAAGCTTTTTAATGGCAACAAGGATTAAAAAAAAGAAGCTCTGGCTCGTCTTGTTTTGCTTTAAGACATTCTGAGACAGAAGGAGATCAAACTCAACAAGAAAGGGGAGTTAAGGATTTGTTGAGCCTTACTGATGACACACTTCCTTAAAATGTATGAAATCATTATTCCAACACTGAAACCTGCAGACTCAGAGGAGCAGAAACTTTTTGCCATTTTATGTTACTATTTTCCCTTTTATCCAGACTTTGGGCACATTATAACATCTTTTTCTCTTTATTTTTGTTATTTCTAACGGTTTACTTTTGGGCTTTTATTCCTTTATTTAGACAGGACAGTGGATAGAATCAGAAATCATCAGAATGACATGCGGGAAAGGCGCCACAGGTTGGATTCGAACCCGGTCCGCCTGCTTGGAGGACTGTAGCCTCCGTACACAGGGTGTGCGCACTAACCACAAGTCTACCGTCAACCCTAACCATTCACTTATAAATAGTTATCAATGCGTTTTAGTCCCGAGGGACCTGCCTCAAAAGCGACCCAACAATAAGTTCTGACATATGGAACTATTTACTGAGTAAATGTTTGGCATGGGTCCTAAATCAAAGTGTAACACATGATCAAGTGAGAGGGTTCTGTCGTTGAATTTAATGGAGCCAGACATAGATGTAAACTAATAATTATATTTTTTTGCGGAAGGAAGAGGGAGTTAAATGGAAATATGAAAAAGAATACTCCAGCCACTCAGAACCCAGCAGCTGCTATGAATGACACTGGTGGATCAGAAAACTGAAAAGTAGCTGCGTGCCTCCTTGTTCTAAGGAAACGTGAACATAAAAACGAGACCACAGGGAAACCTGAGTGAACATGAGCTGAGCTGAAAAAGAGCCACAACCACAGACAGCCACTCTTATATCTAAAAAGTGTCATTACGAGCACATATAGACCATGACTTGAAAACATTAAGTAATAATTGTAGTGAATGGACCAAATGTGTTCTCAGTCTAGAGGTTGATAATTTACCATTGTTTTCAAAGAATTTAAGAAATGTTGCAAGAGGTGGTCCCCACCTGAGGTTAATGCTATATACCCACCTTCCAACTTGTCCTCTAGCATGAAATCTGTTTGTGGGTGATTATGTTTGCACAGTGCAGTAAACACCTTTCTGAATGTGAAGCATGTCCATCTTTGCAGCTCTGGAATCCTGATTAGCCAAGCCTGGCTGGGGAATATTTCTGGAGAATTTAACTGATATCCCTTTCTTCCTTCCATCCCCATTCCCCTTTAGTCACCCTCGCTAACTGTCCTTATTTTGGTTGAAAATGCACAAAGAATCTCTGTGCAGTGAGAGGTGGGGCACTGCTAGGATATCACGAGGATCAGCACATGGTAGAAGAGGATCTGACCCTCGGGGACTTGTTTGGGTTTTTTTTTTCAGGAGTTTTTGGTGTTTTGTGAATCTCAAATTCAGCTGGATGGAGCTATCATTGGAGCATGACTTTCATTAGACTGTTCAGGGAGAAATATGGGGTGCTATTGGTATCATAAGGAGCTCGCGTATTCCTGAAATGCATGCATTTGAGAATACCTCAGGAGATCCAGTGACCGTTCCCAATAATAACCCTGGTGGTGGCCTTATTTTCCCTTATCTGTCTCTATGCCCAGGTTGTTTGTCCTCCTTCTGTACTGTGGTATGTTACAATATCACATGCTGAATTCTAAGCTTTTAGACAGCAGCAAAAGTTAAAAATAATTGAACTGAGTCTTCTGTTAACGGCTTTAGCCATTTAAAGCATTTTCTTCTTTTAGGTTCATAAAAGTTTTTAAAATGTTTTTATTTGTAAAATATTTTGGAAGAGAAGCCAAAAGATTTAGAACTGCCCCTGCTTACTTGCTGCAGTAAAAACCCCTCCTCCTTTATGGTTTTAACAGTTAGGACATTCTTGATTGAACTTTCATAACTAGGAGTTTAGACTTCAAACCGACACAAGAATATGTTCCCCTGTGGACTGTGCTGCCATGAGGGATATTTGATGTTTTATAGGCAAGTTAAATATGTGTTTTTGTAAGTAGAAGCAGCTTGACATCAATACCACGGCTCTGCAAAGACTCTGTTTCCAAATGTGCAACAGCCTGTCAATTGGGGTATTTTGTCCTCATCTTTGTAACACAGGAGGAGGAAGGGGCACATTGTCCATCTTTTTTTTTAAAGATTTATTTTTGGGCTTTTAATGGATAGAGTTAGAAATCAGGGAGAGAGAGAGAGTGGGGAGGAGCCCACAGGCGGGAAGCGAACCCGGGCTGCCCGCTTGAGACAACAGCCTCCATACATGGGGCGCACACTAACCACTGCGCCACCAGTGCCCCTGTCTATCTTATTATTAAGGGCCTATCTAGTAAAGAAGCTGATATGCCATGCCTACAGCTAAGGAGACAACGCCTGCAAGCTAGTTCAGGCAGACGACTCGAGCTGCACTGATTTCACACTGCTCTCTTGCTTTCATCCCCACCACCACCCCAGCATCCACCTGTAGGCTCTGAATGGGGGATTAAAGATATCGTCCCATCACTCCTCAAATGTCTGCATGTAAAATAAATCTGTGAAGAGTGATGAGGTCGGAGCCGAGATGCCCAAACACAAGCTACGTTCTACTGCTGCAGTTAATGTTTCAAACAATTGCAAAAGTGAGTTGTCTGACTGAAATGTAAATGTTATATATTCTGACATTACATTATATCACAACTTCCCACCCTGACTGTGACATCAGAGGAAAATGGTCTCCATGTAAATCCGGTGAATTTTCTATTGTCTCTAACAAGCAATCGTGGAGAAAGTGATGATCACATGATGATATTCTGCTGTTAAAGGAGGTTACAGTGAGGTTATCTCAGGCCATGTAAAATGGCAATCATGCCACAATAATCAAATCAATTTATTATGATCAACAAACAGGGAAGCTGGAAGTTGAGAGGCCTTCCTCTTATCTTTCATTCATAGGGCTTGGACTGAGGATTAGCAGAGTGAATGTCAGGTCACTCTGTTTGGAGAGACATCAGTAATGATTTGACC